TTTGCCTGCTGTGCCCAGCAGGAAGACCAGCAGGTAGATGGTGGGCAGCAGGGCCAGCGAGGGGCCCCACTCTGCATACTCGCAGTCCGTCTCGTTGTCCCCGTAGGTGTAGGCGTCCGCCGCCTCCTCCATGCCACCGGCCGCTGGGCTCAGCTCAGCTCAGCTCAGCTCAGCTCATCCCGGGCTTAGCGAGCTCCTCCAGCCCTCTGAGCCCAGCCCAACGAATCCCACCGCGTTACCTCCCCCTTCCTCCTCCTCCTCCTCCTCCTCCTCCTCCGCCCTCCTCCTTGATGGGACGGACGGGATGGGTGGACGGGGAGGGGAGCCCCCGTGGGAAATTTCACAGCTCCCCCTCTGCCCTCCATCTGGCTCCTTCCCGGGGGATTTTGCCAAGCTCTCACCCAAGTGTCAAAGCCTCAGCCCCTGAGATAACCCCTGCCCCCCCCCCCAGGGCGGCTGCCTCCCAGGGGATTTCGGTCCCCCCGCCAGGACCCGGGCTCGGTGCTGCAGCTGGGGGAAGCAGCCGCAGCGGGGCATGGGGGGGCTCGAATGCCAGGCAGGGGGCCGGCACCCTGCGAGCCCCAGTTTGCGTTTGGGATTTCACCGCTGGGGTGCTGCCTCTGCGTTTTGCAGCAGGGCGTCGCGCTCAGGAGTTTGCATCTCGCATTTGGAGCACCACGCTGGGCGTCCTGCAGCGGGGCGTCGCACTTGGGGGACACATTTGGCGTTTGGGAGCTGGCATTTGGCGTTTGGCGCTTGGGATTTTACATTTTGCTTCCAGGGTTTTGCATTTTGCGGTGGGGCACTGGGAGGGTCCCCGCATTGCTGTGGCAGGGCACAGCTGAGCTGTGGGACGGGGCTGTACTCCCCCAGTTATGGCTTTGGGGAAAAGCACTGGAGAAGCCGGGTGGGACTTTGCAGAAAGCAGAGTCCGAAAGGCGGCGAGGCCCCCTGGGCGGCCGGAGAAGGTGGGGGGGGGCTCGGGATGGGCCGAGGAGCAGAGGCGCCTTTCGCTGTCGGAACAGGTAAATCACGCGAGGAACGGGAAGGTTAAAGCCCAAGAGCCAGCGTGGTAGAGGAACTGGGGGGGCTGGAGGCCAGGGGGGCGCAGCTGCCCCGAGGACAAAGGGGTGCAAAGGAAGGGGGTGGTGGGGTTGTTGGGTGGCTGACGTAGGGGGGCAGCTCAAAGGGGTCCCCAAGATTAGAAAAAACCCAAGCGGAATGGGAGGGAGAGGGGCTGGGAAGGGGGGGAGGCACAATCCAGGGCTTAATTGGGCTGGAGATAATGAATGATAGAATATTCTGACACGCTGGGGCTCCCCAGCCCCGCACCGAGGGCTGGCGCCGAGGCCAGCAGGGCTTTGAGAGACCAAAATCCAAAGCTGCTAAAAATTGGCGCGCGGCCGCAACAGCCGCTGCCTGCGGTTCAGACCCGGAGTTCGTTTAACGAAGGGACAGACGTGCACAAAGCGAGCCCCGTTACTTAAGCCTATTAGCTAATAAATGGCATAAAAAGGGAAATAAAAGAAATGCTAATTAGACCCTAGGTACCGCCAGGAACTGCCACAAAGGGAGATGTTCCCACCCGGGTAACGAAGATCGCTATTAATAACGAGCTCAGCTATTTTTGCAGCCTGTGGGTAGCACAGGGGAACAGGTAACCCCTTCCAGGACCCCGACCAGCTCACGGCGAAGCTTTCACAGGGAGAAGCGGAGCTGTGAAGCCTCCGCCAGGTGCCTTGGCTTGGCCCCGTGCGGCACAAACCAGGCTCGACACAAAACCCCCAGGGGACTGCGCTGCTGGGGAGGGGGAGAGCGGCTATCTGCCGGGAGCGGTGACCATCCCTGCGGTGTCCCCTGGTCCCCATGCAGCCCCCAGGCCGCTGGTGGGAGCCCCGCAGGGGGTCAGGACACGGGGCCGAGCTCCTGGTGCTGCCCAGGCATCCCTCGCCAGGAAGAGCAGTGTCAGGCTTTGCCGTGAGGTGGGATTTGGTGACTTCCTCTGAAGCCAGTTGGAGTTACTCACATCCTACCAGGGAAGCAACAACCCCTCAATGACTCCTCTCCCCCTGGATCATCCTCTTTCCGTCAGGCTCTGCCGGGAAAAAACAGCCTTGGGGTCCCCATCC